TCCTTTTAGACCCCTTAAGCCCCTTTAAAACCAACTTATACCCCCCCCCCCCTTCCCCCCCTCCCCCTCCCCTCCCCTTCAACGAAGAACACGAGGTATACTTCGTCACTTTTCCTCTGTCCCCGCATGTCTTTTACTCACACACAAACAGACATCACTGAGATCAGACAGACGCCTCTCTCTCTCTCTCTCTCTCTCTCTCTCTCTCTCTCTCTCTCTCTCTAAACTGCCCCTCCGGAAGTGCCTGTTCCTTTGAGACTCATCTCTTGCTTCGGCGCAAGTTCGTTGTGTTGGTAGAAGCTTGCACCTGCGATCGCATAGCACATCAACAAGACTAGGCCTCTTAGCCAGTCGGCCTTGCCTTCCTGAAGAATATAAGAGACCATCAAGACGCACAGCACGAGCGTCGATGTCTCAAACAACTGGAAATTCAGATCCATCGGCACGCCCATAATCCAACCCACAACTACGCAGAAGGGGATCACGAAGATGGCGATCTGAACGGAGGACCCGAGCGCCACGGAAATGGACAGATCCAGTTTCTCATTCAGCGCAAACATGACAGCGCTTGCATGCTCCGCTGCATTCCCGACGATCGGCAGTATAATCACGCTAATGAACGCGATGGGAACCTGCCATGCTCTGGACGTCCCTTCTATTGCATCCACCAACCGCTCGGATAACAGCGCAATCAACACGGTGATTACGGTCATCCACAGGAGCGAGTCCACGATGCCAAGCAGGGGACCGTCTGGCGACGACGTTACTGACGCTTCCCCGTCTCTGGAAGACGGAGCACACCTACCCATACCCATCTCTTCATCCTCGCTGTCTAAAGACCCTGTTCCTGCCCCGACAAAGGGTACCATCTCCTGCTCTTTGGCGCGATCCAACGCGCTACAAACGACTCTCGCTTCTTTAATCGACCCTATCGAGCCTCTCCTGCCCTTCTTTCGAATCTTCTTTTTCTTCTTGCGCAAAACCTCCAGCAGCGGTCTCGGGGTATACTTCTCATTCTCCTCCTTCTCCTCGTTCTCTTCCTTGCCCTCCTTCCCCTCCTCCTTCCCCTCCTTCTCCTCTCCTGCGCTTCCGCCGCAGTCCCTCTCTTCGGTCATTTTGGGCAATTCGTTCCTGAGCAAGAACGTGATGTATGCAAAGTACGTCAGCAGCATAACAAGACTGCATGCCCTAGACAGATCGAGGGTGGAGTGACTTCCACGTCGCTCCGTGGCCGTGTAGTGCAGGACCGTCGTCACCGAGATGGAGGTCATGGCCATGAGCATCATGCTCGCCCCGAGCCGTGCGTTCGATCTGACGAAGGGAAGGGGGCCCTGCTTCTTTACCCCGCCGAAAAAGAAGGCGCACCCCAGAACGAGCATCATGTTCGACAAGATCGACCCCAGCAGCGACAGCTGAACTACACGTGGCAGTCCTTTTTTCAGCGCAAAGATCGAGATTATCATCTCCGTGGCATTGCCGAAGGTAGCGTTCAACAGCCCTCCGATCGTATCGCTAGAGTGCTCGGCGAGTTGCTCGGTCACAAAGCCCAGACGCTCAGCGAGGGGGGCGATTCCCAAAAGACTGCAGGCAAATATAAGGGGCTTGGAAAACGGCATGAAACTGACAAGAATGAACACGAAGAGCCAATTAACGCGGGGAACGAGCAAAACGTCCCGCCACGATCCTCCTCTCCACCACTTCGTTCCCGCGCTTTCTACCTTGTTATCGACCCCCATAGTGGCGGCGAGTTGAACTCTGCTATTACTACCGCCCCCCCCTCCACCCCCCACAGTTCTCCTCCCTCCTACTGTAAGTCCAGGGGCAATTATTACTTGATCTCCCGCCTCTTGCTTCCCTGCTGCTCCGTTCTTTACCGTCCTCGACCCATCATTGCTACCCCTGAAAACCGGCCGAATTTCGTTGCTACTATTACCCCCCCGCCCCCCCCCACCGGGTTTGGTAACCCCCCGATTGCTGATCCGAACCCCCTGCTGGGGGTGACGGTTGTTGGCGCCAAAAGATGCTCGAGAGCTGCCGTCGGTTAAGAGAGGCTTCCTCTCTCCATCGTCCCGACCGTACCGATCGTTGGAAATATCGAGAGAGAGAGAGCTACCGTAGCCTCCTGCCGATCCCGATTCGTCGTCCTCATCCATTTGACGATTCTTCCTGCTATGGCTGCTGCTACCCGCATCAGGGGGGGGGTTGTGGTGGGGGTTTCACAAACCGACGTGACAGATGGCAGCACCTGATTGGCCTTCCGGCCAAAGACAGGTTATTTCCATATTCCCATCACCATGGCATCGTCGCCATCATCATCATCATCATCATTTTACTACCATGGTGTCCAAGCACGACGACGATTACAGCTTTCTTCGACTACCTATTCCTTTTTCTCAACGAAATTCAAATCTGTTCTGTCGACAATTGACTCTCTCGCAAAGACAAACAGGCAGCCGAAGAAGTTCTACCGAACTTCTGCGGACAAAGCAGGACTTCTTCTTGCCTTAAACGCCTCCAACCTCCTCCTCCCCCTCCTCCCCTCTCCCCACCAACGATTTTGATTAGCAGTCTAAGCAGCCAGCCCAAGGAACTCGAACTGGAGCCACCCTTGCAAATACAATCAAGTGTCCCTCTGCCCTCCGTGCGGGCCCAGCAGAGATTTCCTGGCCCCAGCAGACTCTTGCTGGCAGTTGGTAGAATCTAGCTGTCAGGTATACACCATCATAGCAATACCAATACCATCATACCATGCGCACTCGTCCCGTTCGTGCTTGCTTCACTCTCTGTACTGGTGAGTAGATCATCACCTTCAGGAGCACCGACTTGTCTCCTTCCCTCTCCCTCCCATGGGGAACCCTCTCTTTCTCCGAAAGAGAAAACACACGCTTGGCGCGCACGGGCGCGATTGTCGCAACCCTCCCTCCGGCCGTTTGAGGGGACCTTCTACGAAAAGGCGAAAGCGCCTAAGCCCCACGTCCCACTAAGGGAACGGAGTTCCTTACCTGGGCCCAGGTCTCACCTATGCTCATTCTTCCTTGATGACCGTCGTCGTGGAAAGAAGGCGTACACGCTAAAGCCCCACGTCCCACTAAGGGCTTACTGGGAAAGAAGTTTCTAACCCGGGCCCAGGTCTCACCTACGCTCAGGGCATACTCACACGGGGACCTATAGGTTCCAAAATCCCAAAACAAGGGGGGGGAAAAGGCCGGTCACACGGATCTACGAAATTCGCAAAATGTACTATTCCAGTGCCCATTTGTTGGCAGCCAGTCCCCCTTTGAGAGACATGGAGACATTAGACATGGAGACATTTTTTCGTCGTCCTTCGTTAGACCCGTCGTTCATTACGGGCCTTTTGGTCGTTGGAAGGCTCGAAAAATGCAGGAAGGTGCAGGTATGGCACTTTTTGGGGGGGTGGCAGTTTGTTTGAAAAACGAGTTCACAGCCCGTCAGGGGTGCGTTTTCCCCCCCTGAGACGTTTCCCCCCCGAGACATTTTTGTCGTCCTTCCGGTCGTTGATTTGGGCTGGGTTGGTCGTTGGAAGGTTCGAAAAATGCAGGCAAGTGCAGGCACGACACTTTGAGGGGTGGTGACAGTTTCTTTGAAAAATGGGGGACGTGTAGCTGCCCGTGGGACCATGCACTAGGTTTTGGTCAAAACGGTGGCAAAATATTGGCAGGGTGGACCTTTAGGGGCTGGTGGCAGTTTCTTTGAAAAATGCGGGACCGGTAGCTGCCCGTGGGACCACGGCTGGGTTTTGGTCGAAACGGTGGCAAAGCAGCGGCAGGGTGGAAAAGTGGAAAAGTTTGCAGCCCGTCAGGGGTGCGTTTTCCCCCCCTGAGACATTTCCCCCCCGAGACATTTTCGCCATCCTTCGTTATACCGGTCGTTGACTCGGTTTCGGTTCGTTGTTCATAGCCCGTCAGGGGTGCGTTTTATGCCCCTGAGAACATTTTTCGTCGCCGTTCGTTATACGGTCGTTGGAAGGCTGGAAAAACAAGGAATGGCAGTTTAGGGGGTGTTGCATCTTATTTGAAACTGCAGGACCGGTAGCTGCCCGTGGGACCGCACGGGTTTGGTCGAAAAATCAAAATGGGGCAAGCAGCGGCGGGCGCAGCCTCACTTTCTCACCCGTGCCCTCTCGGTAAGTCAAATGTTTCTCTTCTTCTTCCCTCTATTTTCAGTTCGCAGCCAGTCAGGGGTGCGTATTTCCCCCTTTGAGACATGGAGACATTTTTTCATCGTCCTTCGTTATACCGGTCGTTCATTACGGGTCGTTTGGTCGTTGGAAGGCTCGAAAAATGCAGGAAGGTGCAGGTATGGCACTTTGGGGGGCGGTGGCAGTTTGTCTGAAAAATGAGGGACCGGTAGCTGCCGGTGGGACCGCGCTTTGGATTTTGGTGGGGACGGGTTCTGGTAGAAATCGAAACGGTGGCAAAGTAGGGGCAAATGGAAAGGGCGTACGGGGTCGGGGGAAGGGACTGAAAAGTCCGACGAAAGTGCGCAGGCTTGAAATCGAAACGGTGGCAAAGCAGGGGCAAATGGAAAGGGCCTGCGGGGCGGGGGGCAGGGGCTGAAAAGTCCGACGAAAGTGCGCAGGCTCTCTCTCTCTCTCTCTCTCTCTCTCTCTC